GGAGGAGGCGGCCGAGGTAAGGGGCTGCGGAGGGGGCGGAGCCGGCGCCCTGCGAACGGCGGGGGAGCCTCGGGCCGAAACTCGCCCCCTCCCCCGGACCCGCTCCCGGCGGGGCTTCGGCGAGGGCTTCCTCTCGAGTAGGGCGCGGAGCTGCCAGCCGTCGCCCGAGCGGGTCTGCTCGGAAGGAAGCCCCGGGGCGCTGAGGGGAGCAGGGTCTCCCTCCTGCCGCTTTCCCCAACCTGGCGCCCGCCAGAGGTATTGCAGTGGGCTCCCGTGCTCCCCACCAGCCCCCCTTCTTGCTGTGATGCGAAGATGATGGGAGTTGTAGTCCAGAGCCCCAGACACCCGCAGGCTTGTGCGGGGGTTCTCCTGTGGCTGTCCCCAACCTGGCGCCCGCCAGAGGCATTGCAATGGGTTCCCGTGCTCCCCACCAGCTGCCCTTTCTTGCTATGATGTGAAGATGATGGGAGTTGTAGTCCAGAGCCCTAGACAGCCCCAGGCTTGTGGGGTGGGTTCTCCTGCAGCTGTCCCCAACCTGGCACCCACCAGAGGCATTGCAATGGGTTCCCGTGCTCCCCACCAGCTGCCCTTTCTTGCTATGATGTGAAGATGATGGGAGTTGTAGTCCAGAGCCCTAGACAGCCCCAGGCTTGTGGGGTGGGTTCTCCTGCAGCTGTCCCCAACCTGGCACCCACCAGAGGCATTGCAATGGGTTCCCGTGCTCCCCACCAGCTGCCCTTTCTTGCTATGATGTGAAGATGATGGGAGTTGTAGTCCAGAGCCCTAGACAGCCCCAGGCTTGTGGGGTGGGTTCTCCTGCAGCTGTCCCCAACCTGGCACCCACCAGAGGCATTGCAATGGGTTCCTGTGCTCTCCTCCCAGCATGTCCCCTCTTTGCTACGATGGGAGTTGTAATCCAACACACCAGACAGGCCAAGTTTGGTGGGGGCAGCAGGCATCAGTGGTTTGGCTTGGAGAGAGCATGCCTAGCCATGTATTTACAGTATTTCTTTCTTTCTGTTGTTTAAAACTGCATCAGGGCACTGCTTCAAAGCGCATGGCTGTTTTGAGAGGACATCCCATTGAGTTACTCATGAGTTAACATGCTCAAGGTTGTTTGGGGGAAGGATGGTGTAGTGGAAAGGAGGGGAGGGTTCCAGTAGCCAATTTGAGGGAAAATAGGAAAAGCATTGGAAGGACCAGGAGATGCCTATATTTCTTTTATACAATGCTTTGGGTAATGGTTTGCACACTGAAGAACAGTGCTCTGATCCTGCCCAGTCTATCAGGAAGTCAACCCTGCTGACCATAGATGCACCGAGTGCTGCCTGACTAAGTACTGTTTAATTGTCTCTGCAGCCTGCTGCTTAATTAAGTCCCTTTCAGTTGCCAACTATATAAAAAGAGAAAACATTTTTCTTCATATCCGTCATAACTTTATAAACCTGTTATAATGAAAGAACTGCCAGCTATATTCAGACATACTGAAAAGCTGTGGATCATTGATACCGGGCTGAGCCTAGCCAGGCCTCCGATTTCTGCGTTCCCCTGCCTGTCAAGCATGGCTATGAGGCGTTGAAAGTATTTTTTTCCCCTTTTTTTTTTTTTTTTTTTAAATTAACTACTGGTTTGAGTTATGTCCATACCTAGAATTGTGGCTAATCTGGGCCTTTGGGATTTTTCAAAGCAAACCTGCATCATATCTCTCAGCTACGGGTTATATCATTATGCACAGAGAGAGTATTAGCTCTGGGAGGGAACAGGTTATCATCTCATTAAAATGCAAATGTACTTCCAGCTTCTTGCACACCTGGGGTTTCCAGAAAGCTCACTTTAGGTTGCCTGCAGTGGAATGAGAGGATGTTTAAAAGTGTTCATAGACTTTCCTTGGAATTATGTTATCCGCTGCTGTGTTTTTTAAACATGCATCTCCGAAGTGCAGGAATTTAGTTATTTTGTAGATGGTTCTGTGTAGTAAAACTTGACTGGCCATGGGATGATGGGTTGTGGGGAGAACTGGGGTAGTTATTTCAAGAATTTTGAGAGGTAAGAGGATTTTGTGAGAGATCCATCTAATGAAGACAGGATGGAATATTTCAGTAATATTGAGCGATCTGTTAGGTAGTTGTGGAAGAATGTTTGTAAACATTGGCAAAGCTGCTCGTAGGCAAAAAGTTGGAAAAGTGAAAGAATGAACTGGTCCTTCTTTGCCAGAACATCTCAAATTCAAGCATCTTCTTGAGGGGTTTACTTAGCTCTGTTGTTCACATCTTGCAGGAAGCAATTGCTGCTTTTTCAATAACACTGTAAATGGAGATTTTAAGTGCAGTTTGGGCTATTTGTAGCTGTTTTCAAAATTATTCCTGTTAGAGAATGCTGGATCATTTTATTGTGGTGTAAAGTATATATTCATTAGCCATGGTCATCTTATGTGTTGGAAGTATAGGGGATAAGGGCAGCAAACCAATCAATAATATGTAATTAAATATTTATTGGATAGATTGATGTTTGGTGTGGTTACCCCCCCCCCAATATGTTTCAGGGTCTGATTTTATAAAAAAATATATAAGATTCTTAGAGGCATGTACTCGAATGATTGGCTGATTGGCTTTTGAGCCCCCAATATTGTTTTTATTAGGACTCTGTGTTGCTTGGCTTCAGTTCCCAAAAGTTGTTTTGAAAATGAGCAGAAGCATGAGCATCTATTGGCAACTTATTAAAGCAACTGCATCATATTCAAGAATCGCATGATCCTGGAAATCCAGGACACAGCTGCTTTAATGAGACACTGTATTCCAGAGCAACTTTTTAAAATTGAATGTGGAACTTTGCACCACTTGACTTTTTATAGTGGTGTACTGTGAAGACATTAAAGGTACAGTGCTGGTGAGATTTCTATTTCCATTTCAAGACTGCAGTCCCTCTTGATAAAGTTATTTAAAAAAAATGACTGCAGTCCCTTGTACATGTACCCCAGATCAAGCCCAGCTGAGGTCAGGAGCTTAGTGCTGTTCAAAGATTACAACTCTGGTGAAACTGGGCAGCCATAGAGAGCAATCTGAGGTAGCCCTATATTTGAAACATTTAGTCAGTGAAGCAAGAAGTATGTTGAGCAAATATGATTTGCAAATGCATACTCAAGGCTGAATATTAAATTGAGGGGCTTGGGGTGATTTCATTAATATTTTAGATGTGGCAATCCTCGCTGAGGTTGCATCTTTAATGCTGGAGGCTGGTGAGGTTTTGCATTCTGGTCTAATTACCACATTTGGTAACAACCTATCGGTCTTGCTACAACCTGCCAGTTAAGGTTGTTTCTGACCTGGGTGATGCTTGCAGGAGCTGGCAAGAAGACAATACAGCATTCCTGCCCCTGAGGTGTTTACCTGGCATATCAACAACACACCAAAGCATGTTTTGGAGTATCACAACATGCTTTCACTTTTCCTAGATCTCTGCCTTTGAATCATACAGGACAGAATGGATGAATGTACTTTCAGCATGTTTCAAATAGGGTTGTAGACCTAAAGAGTTTTAGCTATTACCATTATGGCTGTTAGAACTAATGGTAGGATTGATACTTTGGTTCGTACACGCACTGAACTATCCTTGTAGTTTAAAAACAGTAAATCAGGAACAAGTTTCAGTGTTACAGGATTGCTTATGACCTTCTGATCTAGTTTAATGTTCAAGACAGTCACGGGAAATTCTTGATGATTCGATCTTTCTTAAAATAGCAGAGGGGGTGTTTTATTGCCTGTGGAGATAGCATATTTAATTTTAGCAAAATGTCCTATTGCTGTTTCAGAGAGTCTGTTTTGCTAAAGTTAAGCCATGTGTCTCATCTCAGCAAAGCTAAGTATTTCTTTGCTGGTAGGGAGGTAGCTAAGACAAAAAGATGGGGACTTGTCTTCCATTCTCATTTGCAACTTGGTTTCCCACCAACTAAAGATATTCTCCTTTAACAATGATCTCCCAATGTGTTTCTGCCCTTCATGAATGTGTGACTGCCTTTCATCCTTTGGCCGTCAGCTTATTCATTATTTATATAAGGCACTTCACCAGATCCATGCCCCGTAGTGTTTATAAATTAAGTTTACTTTTCTTCCCTATGTCAAATTTCATCTAGAAGGCAGGAGTGACAAACAAAGGAAAATGTGTGCGCTAAAGCCCAATGATGGCAGAGGGTGGGGATTTTACGGCTTATATTTACCTTTAAATAGCAGACATCAATTTCATCAACTCTTGTATTACGTTCGAAACCTGCAATTGCTTTCTTGATGGGAGGGGGGAACGGCGACGGACAGATACTTGAACTCATAATTGCCCGCTGCGAGTTTTCTTGTTACTTCTTGCCAGCCACCCAAGATCTGCAGATTCACTGTTTTTTTCCCCTGTAGGGTTGATCTCCACATCCGAACGAATGAATGAAACCGCTTTTGCTGGTATTAGAACCAGTTGCCATGGGAGATGGAACTCCCCTTCTTGGATCCCTGTGGCTGCCACAGGGTAGGCTAAATGGCAGTGAGACCTTCTCTGCCGCCTTCATTCTGTGTGTGTGCGCACACACACGCACACACACACACCCCCACACCATTTTTCAGAGGCATTTTGCCTCTCATAGCTATGAGAAGCCTGTTGCTGTGGCAGCAAAAGGAAGGGTATCATGATTAAAGATGGAGACATACCCAAGATGGATGTGTCTGTATGGGCTGGGGTGGGGAGGAAGATTCTCATCCCCTTAATTTCACAAACTACCAAGCATTTGAAGCTGCCTCATATTTATGGTAAGACGTTGCAGGTTCAACATTTCTGGCTGATGCCTTCTTCTTGTAAAAGATATTTGTTTTCCATCTCTAATACATAAAAAATGTATTCTTTTTCTTTTCACTCTAAGGAATTCAGAGCGGTATTCCTTATCTCGCCCCGCCCCCCGGTATTTTATTCCCATAAAATTCCATGGTGGAAGGTCAAACGGAAATTTAGCGATTGGGTCAGGATTGGTGCCTGGACAGACTTGAGGCAGAAATTATGGAAGAGAGGGGGCTAAAGTGGTTAGTTTTTCAGCAGCAGTGGCTTCTTGAATTTGGACTGCTGATACTGTACGTACACTCAGCCACCCCCACCTCCCATTTTTATTCTGGAATCAGATCAGGGTATAGTAGAAAAGCAATAAAGGAAGAAAGTTTGCTGTGTGCATTTCTGAATAAAGATCCTCTAGTGTGCCTCTCAGAGTATACTGCCAGAACAACAGTTGGTGGGCTTTCTGTTTTGTTTTGTTTTTCCCCCTCCCTGGGTTGTAATCCTATTTTGCTTTCATTATGCAGGAACAGACTGTTTGCGTAGCATTAAGAGAAAGAGAGCAAAAATGCTCAAAGCAGAAGAAAATATGGCAAGATGAGAGGCAGAAGTGTGTTGTGCCCACATACGATAAAGTCATTTCTGGGGCTGTTTTTGGGTGGGCCATTCTGTTACACACAAGGAAGTCATTACTTTGCAAAGAAATCTGGAATTCAATTAAAGTGTGGACATGGGCTCTCCCTGGTCTGGGGAGGATGGGTGCTTTCATTTTGCCGCTTCTTGGAGGTGGGGGGGGAGAGGAACTGAAAGTAATTTATACAGGCCAATATTTGTGTTTCAGATTCTGTGACCCTCTGAAGGCTTTGTCTGGAGCTGTGTCCAGCAGAACTCCTTTCTCCTCACAGCCATGTTAACAACAGGATGAAGCTGGAGGCAGTTGTGGAACAGCTGCAGAAGCAGCAACAGCAGCAGCAGGTGGCCCCTCTGCAGATGGAGTCCAGAGAGAGGCCACAGAGGCAGATGAGAGAGACCCAGCTGCAGTTTCCCCAACAGATGACAGTCCAGCAAGCTGCCCTTGCTGCCACATCTGGCAAGGTTTCAGGTGGGCCAATCCTTGGACCTTCAGCTAGAGTCCCCCCTGCATTGGGGGCTTCCCGAACATTTGATCAGGGTACTCTGAACTCCGAGGAGGAGGAGGAGGAGGAAGAAGAAGAAGAGGAAGAAGAAGAAGAAGAAGGTGAGGAAGATTCAGAAGATGGTGATCTCGAGGACAGCACTCCCAGAACTGGCCAGGAGGCATGTTCAGCTCTGAAATACTTTCATGCTTCCAAAGTTGTTTCCCACAACCAAAGAGTGACTCCTTCATCTAAGCCTCTCCCAGTTCTGGGGATCCAGCGGAGTCAGCAGGGGAAGGACGAGCTGGGGAAAGAAGCCACCAACTTGCTCTATTCTGGCTCCTCCTCTGGGAGGCCCACTTGGCGGTTGGAGGAGCAGGTCAAACAGGTCAGTAAAAAGGTTTACATCCCCAGAATGCGGCTGAAGTGTGCGAGTTTGGGTTTTGTTGTGTTGTGTTCGATGTGGCTCTTCCTTGGTTATGCTGGCTGGTAGGGAAAGCCATGCACAGTATTTGGGCATTCATTACATTTTTGTACTGCTTTTCATCAGGGAGGTCAAGTTGGTCCCCTTGTTTTATTCTCTTAGCCGTGCCCTGTAAGGTAGTTGGGCCAAAAGATATCCAGTGAAGCCCTTTGGTTACGCAAGAACAGGAATGTGGGTCAGACATCTTAATCAGCCTTTGATGGCAGCCAAGCCTTTGATAATTGTTAGCTCTGGAAAGTGAGCAACCTCTTCTTTAAGCCACCTCCCCCTCTTCCCCCCCCCTTTGCAGCAGGTTTTTTTTATGAGCAGAAGCAAAAGTGAGAAACCTTTGGGGGCTCCTGACTGCCACAGTGAATTAGGCAAGGGGAAATGTGCATAGGAAAAAAAAAAAGATGGTGGGCTTTCTATTTATACAGACCCTGGGAAGCCTCTCCTGTTTCCTTCACAAGTTCTGTTTGCAGTTCACACCAACAGCTTTAGTATGGCTGGCTGGAGAATAACGGGCCCTTGTGCTTTCAGTGGTCAAAGAGCCTTTGAAGTGTTGCAGTTAAAAAGCAGGCCGGGTGATGCAACTGGCAAGAGTATATTCCTCCTCCTTGGTGTAAATAGGCCTTTTGGTGCAGTGAATTCTGGAATCAGCGAGTGCACCAATCACATTTACTAACGTTTCTGGGTTGTGCACCGCGTGCGCAAAAGTTGCTTTGTACAGTGGCTGAGGGGTAACCGTGTTGGTCTCTTACAGCAAATTAAAAAAACAACCACACCTTTAATGTGTAATAGTATCCGCTTTTGTGGGGCAGTGGCTATTTCATGTTTCTTGCGGTGTCTAGGGCTGTGTGTGACTTTTTGGTGGTTTGTGATCAAGGGAAGGGAGGCTTCCTCTAAGAAGCTATGTAAATATCTACTGGGCTATTGTTAAAAGGCTCCTCTGAGAAGGTAACTCTGAGTTGGCTAGATTAGTTGGTGGCAAGCCTGTGAATCTAGCGAGATTCTTTCACAACTCCTTTGCCAGACCTGTAAGACTTCTAACTTAGCCGCTTCTCCTTCTAGCTGTTTCCCACAGTGTTTCAGTGCACTGTTTTATTGCGTAGCCTCTCAGATGCTCAGCCTACGGAGGGACGGATCATTTTGAGAGCATACTTTTCTTTTTCCAGAATATTTTGCCCTCACTTTGGGGTAAATGTCTCCTGCTTCACTCTCAGACTCTGCAATGCAGCCCCTGAGGAGTTGGACTAGGTCTCTGCTCTTTCTTCATTTAAGAAATCTGTGAAGACCCATTTTCCAGCCCAGGCCTTCAAAAGTTAATGTTTTTAGTTGCAGCTTTTAAAAAAAATTATTCTGTACCTATAAAAACTATAACTCGCCTTAGGTGTTCATTAAAAAAAATGGTGGCCTGCAACTCAAATAAAAATGAAATATTTTGTGTATCTTAAAACATCTGGGGAGGGCATTCAGATCCAGTGTGAGCACCCTCTCTCTAAATTACCTGTCACCTGTTTAAAGAAGCCTCACCTTTCCCTGGGTTCGCATGATAGCCAAAGCAGGCTAGGGTGCTTCACTTCCAAACGCTACACACTTCTAGCATACAGGACTTCTGTACATGGAAGAGAATGCCACTGAATTGCAAAACATCCTTCTCATTTTGCATGTTTGCTATAAGCTTTGAGGGTTGAAAGCTTATTCATGTTACTGTAATTGATGTTCACGCAAGGGATATTTATATACTAATGGTGTGGCGTAGACAATGTAGGAGAAGGGCTGTGCTGAGAATGAATTGCTTGCGTTCTAAACCTTGTACTTAAGCAAAAAGCCGGAATATCTTCTGCAGGATAGCTAGTGAAACTGACCTGTCAGAGCCATCATGTGAAATAATCCTTTTGTGTGCTGTGAGAGGTGGATTTTCTTGAAAATTCTGAATGAGAAGAGGAGCCTTCACCTGTTCCTGAACTCCATCAACCCACAGCCATCATGACTGGGGAATAAAGATGGTGAAAATTACTTGTTCCCTCTCACCAGATTCCTGTTCCTCAGAAGAGATTTGCAGTTGTGATTGTTTGAATCAGTCTCCATCTCACTTCTTCTGTCCAGTACACGAAGTGACCTGGGGGGTTCATTGTTTCCAAGAGTGTTTCCAGTTTAGCATTTCAGGAGGAACCTTTTCCTCTGCAGGTCCCCATCGCTCTAAAAGAAAACCCATGTTGTGCCATGGTGTCAAATTCCACACCTATGACACTGAAGTGATCTTGCTGGAATCCAGATTTCTTGGTGACTTTGTTTTAAGATGCTTGTGCAAGTTAGGTTCTGTATTGATTAGAGTGCCATTTACTGCTGTGTTCAAAAAGTCACAGAGTGATTGAACGTATCTCTGATACCCTTTTTCTTAAATATCAGAAGGGTAACAGGAGAGCGAAGAAAAATAAGTAGCAAGCTATTCTTACTGTCTCCACTTCAGTCGGTTAGGTTATTATGAATCTTGTTCTATGCTGTCAGCAAAACTGTCTTCCACTTCAGAACGTACGAACATATCTGTAGCGCTGTTGTAAACAAGAGAGCTGAAATCAGTTCTTATTACTGGAATAACCTAAAGGAGAAATCTCAGTGCTGTTAATACCTCAGTGCCATTCTGAAATTCTTAATGGTCGCTGTGGTATGAAGCTGTTTTATATCTTTTCATTTTTGATAACTTGGGCTGAATTTCAGTTTTGAATAAATCTGACTTCCATATCCTGGCTCAGGACTATGTGGCTGGGGTTCATATCCAACAGCATGAAATAAAATCATAATGGGGAATTCAGGCCAAAGAGTATTTATTTAGTGCAGGAATCGAAATCAGAATTTCTCCAGAAATGTTAGACATTTGGACACTACCAGCAAATAGGAGCTCATCACTTGAGGTTCTACTGCGAAATGGTTCCCACTAGCACACCATCAAATCCCTTAAATCCATTATTTTGTGCCCTGCCCTTTGGAACAATATGTTGTGTTCTCAAATGATAGCACAGACCGTCCCGCTTTTGAATCCCTCTGAGTTGTAAAAGAAAAACATTTCTTTGCATGTAAGGAACTAGAAGACCAAGCAATGGTGTTCAGCTAGAACTTTTCTCTAAGGGCGCTAGTCCTTGCCAGGAATTCTTCTCTTGAGGAACACTCAGAAAAGACATTCTCCATCAACAGTCTGAAGTGATACAGTTCATTTAACCACCACAGGATTGTGGTATCTCTGTTAATCGGCCAGGTCTACACTGGGGTGGATGTCAGTTGTCCATTTTGTAAGGCGAGAGAAGCAATCTACCTATTTTTGTTTCATGCAACACTCTCGTCCCTCAATGTGTGGGAAGAATTAATCTTTTGACTGTCCTTTGTAACATTCTCCTGTCAAAGAATCGCGTGGCAAGCACTACTTAAATTTGCGTCTTGCATTGACCCAGAGTAGTTGTTTGATCTAAAAATGCCTTTCTATACAACATTAACTTTATTTGAAATTGATGCATTCAGAGCGAAGAGGTGTCCTTGGCATTTCTTTGTTATTTTCCTCTTCACCTCCCTGTTTTGTTTCTTTCTTTAAAAAAAAAACAACTTCCCTCCTGTTGTAGCAAAGTCAACTTAAAGCCCCCTTGAACATTTTCTGTTAGCAAAGAGTACTATCAAAAGGAAGAAGGGTGTTGATGCTTGTCTGCTGTGAGTTCCATTCAGCCTCCCACAACAAAGTAATTAATTGTCCAACACCCTTGCAGACAAAAGAGCTAGCTCAGCTTATGACAGAGGGGTGGTGAGAATATTGTCAACACAGAACGAGGAGGAAGGTTTGGGTGTCTTTCAAGGGGCTGGCAAACCCCCAAAGAAAAGTGAAGGGAGTCAGTTTAGTTTCTTTTCTCTGTCTCTTAACACTTCCCGTATCCATATGGATATAAGCAGCAAAGGCTGTAAGAGCTACAGAAGAAAAAGATATCTTGATGGCTGTCATTGAACAAAGGAGAAATAAAAACATAATTCATTGGGGGTGATTTTTTTTTTTTAATATTGCTCCCTGCCTGTAGAGTGTTTTGTCCATTTGAAAAGTGTATGAGAGAAATTATTTTTAGGGGTGTTCTTTTCTAGGTGATTGCCTCTCTGCTTAATACAAACTGAGCCCCTTCAAAGTTGTCAGATCAGGGTTAAAAGTGAAGTAAGTCCTATCATGATGATTGGAGTAGTGATGGTCTCTGTGGTATGGAATGTTACCTTAAAAAGACACATTTAGAAGCTGGGGAAGAATTTGGAATCAAAAACATCTATACCTTGAATAGAATATCTTTCAACTATCAAAATGATCAGTGCAGACTCCCACCAGTTTTTATTACTGGTAGAGAAAAAGGAAATTATTGCATTTCCCAAATGGGGTGGACAATCCTTGATCCTGCCTCTGAGGAACAAACCACTCTAGATAGGACTTAATTTAGGGATCCAGACCATAGTTCAATATGATTTGTAAAAGTCCAGAGTTAGTTTCTATTTTCTCAACATTCCAGTATTATAATACCTGGGCTTTGGGGTGGAGCAAACATTATAACCAAATTTTGTGAAGTCAGGTATATCATCAAACCTTGGTTATTATAGTTAAGTCTCCCTAATGATAGCTTGGCATGATGACTGAATTGGCCTGATGTTTGCACACAGACACATTTTGCATAATGTGTCTATTGGCTCGTAGACATAATCACCTCGTCCTTCTTTCATTGGATCTCACTGCAAAATATTCACACATTCTCCTATCTAAATGATAAATATTTTACTTGTTCAAGTTCACAATTACATTTTAAGTTGGATAATAAGTTTCCCTGGATGTTCTAGCTTATTTTTAATTCCTTATGAGGAGGGAAATAGAATGTATTCATTTTTGTCCCTAACACTGGTCACAGGCTATA